AAGAGCAGGCTGGCTCTGTTTTTAATCTGAGAGGTCCTGGCTCGGTCTTGTGACCAGTTAGCTCTAGCGGTCTGTCAGCTCTAGCCGGGTACGCCCAGAAGTGTGTATACAGGGCCGATGTGGCTCCAGGCAGCCGTGTCCAGAGGAGAGTCCATGACACCTGCTGCCCCCCAACACATACACATACTAGGAAAGAGGGCAGCAGCGACCCTGGCAAGGGACAGCAGCAGGAATCCCAGAGGAGGCAGGGGAGCCAGCGCCTCCCCTACTTGCGTGGCTCTACCCTCAGGAGAGTTACTTACGAAGAGTCACAGTGCAGGTCCCGCAGGGCCTTCTCTGCCACCTGAGCAGTTCCTGCAGGTGACTTTGTCTCCTCCCCAAGGAAGGGACACCCGGAGGGGCAGGAGCAAGGGCTTCTTTGCCCAGACATCCTGGCTGGGACTTCCCAGGGGCCTTCCCAGAGCACCTTATGTCAGTGCCCTGTGCTGCCAGCCTGTGGGACTTGCGAGCCAAAGGAAGGGATCCTTAGTCATAAAACCTTACCAGACCAGCTCTAAAAATGTTGACCTGAGCTGATCTTGGCATGAACATTTGCTTCATGAAAGAACCTCAGTAACTAGCCCAGCCAGTCAGGAGTGAGAGGCCCGCAGCAGGATCGCCGTCTTCTGCTGGGGCTCAAGAAACTGATGCTTGAACACACTCGTTGTGTCTCTCAGTGGCCAGGAGTGTCACTGAAGGAGCTTCTGGGCTCGGTCTGCCCTGCTACCCTGGTGCACACAGGAGACCTGGCAACATTGCTGTTCTCTTACCTCACAAGCTTCCCCCTGGATGATGTGACTGTGCTTATGCTCTGCAGTGACTGTCTAGTGAGTCGAGCTAAGTGCTTTGATAGTAGAACCCTTCTGCTGTGGTACTGGGGAGTGACCCAGGTCCCAGCATCGGGTGGGGTCCCCAGCCCTAAGCGCAGGAGGCTGGCCTCCAGCTTGGGATCTTCCTACCTGGGCTTCCCAGTAGCTGCTGCCACTGCACCAGGCTAATAACAGACTTCACTTATAGCGTATTTTCAGATACCTGTGATTATAATATGTAATTAAAGTGTTCTTACAAATATCAGTAAATTCTTTGGCCCACACGCTCAAAAAAAAGCAAGCTATGTGGTAGTGGCACAAGGATAGGCATATCCACAGAATAAAATTGAGAGCTCAGAAATAAGCCTTCAAGTTGAGGGTTGATAGATTTTTTTATTAAATGAACAACTCAATGAGGGAAGGGAAACACTTCAGCAAACGTTGCTCAGAGCTAGTGAGATAGTTCAGCAGACTAAAGCGCCTGCTTAGGCCAGCTTAGGCAAGGGCAGGAACAGCAGTTTGAGCCCCAGCAAGTGCTGTGCAGGCCCGCCCCACCCAGGGTGGACTGACCGGCCAGAGTCGGTATGGGGGTAGAGACCTGTAATCCCAGCGCTGGGGAGGCTGAAAGCAGGAGGATCACCATAGGTCCGAGCTGCATAGTGAGACCTCGTTACAACCAAATAAATACATTTAGGGCTGGCCAGGTAGCTCAGCGGACTAAAGTGCCTGCTTAGGCAGATGCAGCAGCCAGGGTTCAATCCCTGGCATCCCTGCCAACCCCACCCCTGGGGCTTACTGAGACTAGGCATGGTAGTGCGCACCTGTAATCCCAGCACTTGGGAGGCTGAAAACAGGAGAATCGCTACAAGTCCAATCTACGTAGTGAGACCCTGAACACCCTGTAGATCCTATACCAAATACATTTAAAAAAAAAAAAAAAAATGTTGCTTAGCTATACACTGAAGAATGAATCTGGACCCCTGCCTGGTGGTACACAGAGGTGAACACAGCCTCCTCTGCTTCAGTCCACCGTGGGGAGCACACTGTCGCCTGTGAGTGCAGCCATGTCTCCTCACAGAATTTCCGAATCAGACTTCCTGCCTGGAAACAAAAGCAGAACCACCCAATTTCTCAGTGGATTCTGACAAAGGCTGGTAGTAAACCAGGTCCAACTCCAAGAGGAGACACTGGAGGGTGACCAGCCGGGCCGCAGCACACCTACCCTCTGAGAGGCCACATGGCCGTGCCCCTTTATTTTGGTTAAGACAATACTGGATCAAGCTTAAAAGGTAATTAACCATTGGCTAGGGCTGGCCAGATAGCTTAGCGAACTAAAGCACCTGCTTAGGCAGAGCGCAGCGGCTGGGGTTCGATCCCCTGTGTGCTGTGCCAGCCCCACCCTGCTTCTGGGGCACACTGAGAGGGTGATTGAGACTAGGCATGGTGGTGCGCCCCTGTAATCTCCTGGGGCTCAGGGCATGGTGTCCAATCTGCATAGTGAGACCCTGTATACACTGTACTAAATACATTTTTAGAAAGACCAAAAAAAAAAAAAAAAACCTACTGGCTGGACCATGAATGTGCTTAATCAGGAATCTTATTTTTTTTCTGTAATCAGTACTAATGAATTAACAAAAAATATTTGAAACCTTTAACAAAACTGAATGCAGAGGGTCATAGGCCTGAATATACAAGCTAAAACTGTAAACCTCTTAGGAGTAAATCTTCATGATCTCGGGTTAGATGATGATTTTTTTTTTTTTTTTTTTTTTTTTTTGTGTGTGTTTGTGTGTGGCCAGTTCAGCCCACCAGGGGTGGGGCTGGCTGGTATGTGGTGCTGGGGGATTGAACCGCGGTCCCTGTGCTTTGCTTAGCTTAGCTTGTTCTAAGTAGGTGCTTTAGACCACTGAGCCATCTCACCAGCCCCTAGACAATGATTTAAAATAACAGCACCAGTAGGATAGAGGTAGAAGAGAAAATTGGTACATCGGATTTCATCAGCATTGGAGATTTGTGCTTCAAAAGATTTTATCCAGCCCACAGAAAGGCCTTGTAAATCATGGATCCAAATTTGCTGTAGTCTGAATGATGTGGCCTCCCCCGACTCAGGCTGAACCCATCTCCAGCACAATAGCACCATGGTCAGGCCTTGGGAAGTGGCTGAGTCGTGAGGGCAGGCCCTGCGGCTGCTGGCCTGAGGAGGGGTCCTTGGTTCCTCCCCCATGTGGTGACAAAGGGACGTGGGGCCATCTCAACAGCCTGGTTGCATTGACAGCTACGCCCACAAGGAATGGGCCTCATCAGGCTCCACATCTGCCAGCTCCTTGGTCTTGGGCCTTTTAGCCTCTAGAACCACAAGCAATTAATTTCTGTTTATAAATTATCCAGTATAAGGCATTACTTATAGGCATAATCAGAATGTATAGAGAGCTCTTTATAGCTCACTGTTAAGGAAACAAGACAAGAAATTGGCAAAGGATGTAAGCAGCTGTTTCTCCAGGGAAGATACACAGATGGCCAAGGAGCACAGGAGAGGATGCCGAGCGTCACAGGCCGGAATCCCATGAAGCGCTGCAGCCTCTGCTTCAAATAAGGCACTTCCTGCGAGGGTTAGACGGAGGCAGCCTGTGAGCCTGTCATCCTGCTGCTGGGTCTCCTCAAGAGCAGTACAAGCACGCGCTCTCACAAGGCCTTGCTCACATATTCTTAGCTGTATTATTTATGGAGGTCGAAAAGTGCAGACGACTCAGCTGTCCTGAGCTGGTGAATGGATGAATAAACTGGCTGGATTATAGACAGGCAGTACAAGGCAGCATAGCTCTGATGCGTGGAATAGTGAGTCCCGCTAAGTGACGGGCCGGTCTGGCACACACTCCAGCGCTGTGCTGCTCCACTCACATGAGATGAGAAGTCCAGTCTGCAGAGTTGGGAAGTCGATCGGAGGTGCCTCAGATGTGGAGGAGGAAGTGCGGCTGGGAGTGCAGCACCTGGGCTGGGGGTAGTTTCGTGTGAGGGTGAGGGCTCTGAGTGCAGGTGCAGGTCTAGGGCGTGGTGGGGGAGATGTGTTGGGTGGGAAGCGCAAGCCTGCTTTTCAAAAGCTTGCTTTATGGTTCTGTCCCCTGAGCTGTGAGCCGAGAGCTAGACGCTACTTTCTTTTTTCTTATTGTGCTTGGTGCAGGGTCTCACTGCACAGCTCAGACTCATGGTGATCCTTCTGTATTCGGCCTCCCGGGTGCTGGGATTATAGGCGTGGGCCACCATGCTGGGGGCGGGGGCAGGGCTGGGGCCTGTGCCAGGGAAGGTGAGGACAGTAGCGATCATCTCATTGTGACAGGTGATGTTTTGACCCACGCATCCACAATGAGGTGATTGCTATCCCCCAATAAGCCAACATTTCTGTTTCGCAGACTGAGTTGCGTGTGTGGCGAGAGCCGGCCCCACGCTGTGCAGCAGATCTCCAGCTGCGCCATTCTGGGGCATCTGTCCCTCCCTGGTCCTGGCCACCCCTCTCTCCTAATGGCCACCAGGCAGAGATCCGTCCTGGGACACTGCTGGACTCCAATGGTGGCTTCAGAGGCCGAATAGCCTGAGCCTTGGACATCCTGCCCAGAGGACTGGCTGTTCACATCCTTTCTGTTTAGCTGGAATGTTTCCGGGCCAGTGTGTGGAGGGGGGTTTGAGTAATCGTGTGCTGTGTGTGCTACAGAGCTTTTCTCTTAGCCCCTGGCTTGCAGCTTTGTGCATTGACTTTGTTGAGTGCAGTCGGTCCCGTTGCAAAGTGACCATGTTCACTTTATGGCTGTGGCTTTTTCTTGCATTAGATGGCATTGCTTGTCCTAGTCATAAAGCGTGTTTTCCTACCAGTTCTTTCATAGCACTGTCTTGCACCTTGAGGTGTCAGATGCTCCCCAGGGTTCCTCTGTCTCAGCGGGCGTGGCGAGGTCTGTCCTTCCTTTGCACCACAGACTGTCGCCAGGCTGATCAGTGCTTGCTGGGGACTGGAGTTGCCCGCAGCTGAGAGGGCTGCCCTTGGGTCAGTCTCTTTACAGCCGAGGGAGCCAAGCTGCAGGACAGGACAGTGCTGGAGATGGGAATGGGGACTTGGGTGGCCTCCACCCTGGTGGTGACGGGCCTGGCTCTCTTGCCCTCCAGTGTGGGGCTGCCTTTCAGCAGGATGACGTCATCGTGCTCAATGGCACCAAGGAGGATGTGGAGGTGCTGAGGAAGAGGATGGACGAGAGGCGGCTGAGAGCCAAGCAGGAGAAGGTAACGGGCAGGGCTTTGTGGGTCTGTGAGCTGTGCTGTCCTCGCAGCCAGTGAGGTGGGAGGGACAGCGCCCCCATGGGACGTGGGGTGCTGGGAGGGAAGTGGCGCAGAGCCTTGCAGGCTCTCAGGGGAGGCAGCAGCCGCAACTGTTGCTGTCACTTTAGAAGAATACGTGTCCGTTTGCATAGCTGGTAAAGCGAAGGGGCGCTGGACAGTCACCATCATTTCCACAATGCAGAGGTTCTGGGGCACTCACATTTGAAGCATGCCAGAGCCCCTGCAGCCTGGGTTCCAGCCGGCCTCAGGTCTGAGGGTGCCCGCTTTCTTTTCCTCTCCCAGAGCAGCAGGCGCAGCCCCTCAGGACACTCAGGGTGGGGGGTGCTTGGTAGCTGTGTCACAGGGGATGCAGCTCCTGCGCCTTCCTTCCAGAACCCGGCTTGGGAGCCCAGCGAAAGCCCTGGGGAGCAGTGCTGGGCTGTGTCCTGCTCCCGGGTTCACCACCACATTCTGGGAGCAGTGGAAGCTGCTCAGTGCTGTGGCATGACAAGAGGCTCAGTGAGAAATCAGGCTGGGGATAGAGCTCAGTGGACAGCACCTGCGCAGCAAGCGCACGGTCCTGAGTCTGATTCCTGGTGCCAAAGCTTAAAATTAGAAAATCACTTGGGGCTGGGGTGTGGTCTGGGGAAGAGCACTTGCTCAGTGTTCCAGAAGTCCTAGACTTGAGCCTCAGTGTCACCCAAAAAAAGGCCATCAGTCCTGGGCCCAACAGTGCATTTTATTATTTATTAAGTAGGAGCAGGTGTTAGCTGTATACTACAGATCTTTTGTGAGTGGTATTTTTTTTTTTTTTTTTTTTTTTTTAATGTAAAAGGGTCAGGGAGATAGCTCAGTGGCACAGGCGCCTGCCTAGCAAACACAAGGTACTGAGTTCAATCCCTGGTACCATAAAAAGAAAAGTTAGACTCAAGATAAACTTGGGAGAAACAGTGTGATCAGAACAAAAGCAAGAGCATGCTGGAACTGAGAAAACCAGAGTCAGCACCCGAGGGCAGCAGCGTCGGGGGACATGGCCGTAAAGTGGGACTAGCTTTCTGGGACGGAGTAATGCAGCGAGGTGGGAGTTTTTCAGATCTTTGTTTTTTGCTTTGTATGTTTCTTCAGTTGCAGAAGAAATTACAGAATCCACATCACCTTGGAATAATAATAATTTGTGGTGGTTAGACTTAAAGCAGCTGCTGGAGGTGCACATGGCGGCTTAAAGCAGCTGCTGGAGGTGCACATGGCGGCGCTGCCCTGAGGCCTGAGCGCAGAGTAGTCGGGAGCTGGGTCAGCGGTCTCTGCTCCTTCTCTCACTTCACTTAAGTAGAACATAATGTCCTCAAGCCGCGCTGCGGGGTCACATGCAGATGCTCTCTCTGCGCGGCTGTTTGCAGCCATCCAGCACCAGCGAGCAGCCCCCCGTGCAGAGCCTCGAGGCACATAGCAGTGCACTAAGGCTAAAACCCGAATGTCTGCCTGTGCGGAAATTCTAAGTGGTTCTCTAATTACTCTGACTTCAAGAGCAGAGAGAAAGGAAAAACTAGAGGCTCCCGTGACAAGGACGGTTTCCCAAAGGGATCTGTTTGTTCTCCATTGCTGCCCTCGAGTCACTTTTAGAAACATGCAAAAGGGAGAAACCGCGTTCTAGAAGAAGCTCCTGGGGTGTCAGGTACTTTCTTGAATCTTATTTCAGTGAATCTTCTCTGTCCGGGCTTCCTGCCAGGTTGCCGCAGCGCAGGGGAGCTGATGATCCCCTCCGCAGAGTGCGCACAGGAGTGTCTGTCACCTCGTAGATACTGCTGCCAAGATACAAAATATTTCCCAAATAGTCCCGCAGCTGGAGACGGACACGGCTCCTCTCTACCTCTTCATTGCTGGTGCTTTTCAGATAACTCAGCTCTCAGTGGAAGCCTTAGAAATGAGTAGATGTGTTTGGAATTGTGACCTTCACAAGCCCGATGCATGCTTGCTTTTTTTTTTTTTTTTTTTGCTGAACTGGGGATTGAACTCAGATCCTTGTTGTTTGCCAGTCAAGCGCTTATCCTACTGAGCCATCTCCCCGGCCCCTGCATGCATTATTGTGTGGGTAAAGAGAGCAAGCTTTTGCTCTGCACAAGCCCCGGAAGTCACATTGCCTGTGTGTTCCTGGTTAAGAGTGTCGCCTGGCAGAGGTCCTGTTAGGGTGCTAGGAGCAGGGTGTTCCGAAGCAGTTACCCTGTGTCATTCTTGCTGCCACGCAGACACTTAGGAAAAGGACATTTTAACGTCCTTTAAATGAATATTGTCCTGTTAGTAATTTCTGCATTTGAATCAGTACAAACACAGCTGTGTGATTTTTAGAATGGCTCATTCCTTTTTTAATTGTTCCTGACCAGAATAACTATTCCGAGTTACGAAATTCTAGTGCCTAAAACCTAACAAGAGCAATCCAGGTTTATTTTAGGAGAACAGCTCAAATGTTCTTAGTATAAGTCTCCAGGCCTTATAGTTAGATAAATAAATGTCAAAGCAGTTGACCACAGAAAAAGAGGTCCTGAAAGGAAAGGCATAGTGCGTGTGCATGCTGCAGCCTTCGCCCGGGCAGGTGTACTTTCCCTGCTTCACTTCAGTGCTGCCAAGTGAACAGAGACTTGGATCAGTGAGACTGGTCATGTTCAGTTCGAGTTTGAAGGATGCAACTTGGGGAATACAGGTTCTCCCTTGGGAGGGACGCGGGGCAAAGTCCTTGGGTGCAGCCACATCCCCCAGGCCAGGGAGCGTGCCAGGGTGAATGGCTCCTGTCCCTGTCACAAGGCACCCAGCCTCCAGCAGCTGCTTTCTTTTTACAGAAAACAAAGAAGCCCAAGGCGGCAGAGTCGGTTTCGAGTGCAGGCGTCAGTGAAGGTAAGACAGGAAAGAGGCCGATGCTCACCAGAGCAGGACGGGGGCCGGGTCCTTTGTAGGCTCGCACCCTGGTTTGGTTCAGCTTCTGTTTAGCTTCTGTTGTGTTTTGCAGACTTGCCAGGGCCATCCAAAATCAAGAGCTGCAAGCCTGAGGATCCCGGGCTGGAGAAGAAGGGCCCCTCGGCTCCCCGGGGTGCAGGTGGGTCTGCACGGTTTGGCTGGTGGGAAGCTCACTGCCCAGGCAGTTCACTGCCCACCAGGCTAAGACAGTGCGTGCCCATGAGGTGGGGAGAAGGGCCAGTGGCCCCTGGGAGCCCAGGAGCTTGAGCCCGGTGAGCATGGGTCTGATCCCCTGTGCCTCTGGAAAGAGGTGAGCGAGAGCACGCAGTGTCTGGGGTGATCTGGGCCTGACCTGAGAGCTTTCTGCCTTTCTGCTTCCCAGCAGCAGTGAGTGGGACCTCCTCTGGGAAGGCGGGGAAGCCCCCCGGCGCAGCCCCGAAGCGGTCCATTGCAGACAGCGAAGAGTCTGAGACCTACAAGTCCCTCTTCACTACTCACAGCTCCGCCAAGCGCCCCAAGGAGGAGTCGGCCCACTGGGTCACCCACACGTCCTATTGCTTCTGAGCGAACTGCGTTATAAAGTCGCCCTGCCGGACCCATCCCATGTGGTCACTCTTGCGAGGCTCTACAGGGTCTGGGGAGGGGCAGGGCGGCTCACGACTGGCACTCCCTTATGCACCTTGGCCTTCTTGGTCTGCAAAAGACGACTTCCCGCTGCCCAGGCTTCCCTGCTGCGGTCATCCTCTGCTGGGGGAGCAGCCCAAGGGGAGTTTTGGATCCCAGCCCTGCGGGCACCCTTGGGTAACACTTGACCACACAGCTCTGGAAGGAGCCGAGCCTTGTCCGGCACGCTTGGGCGAGGGGTCTGTCCTCATTTTGAGCAGAGTAGAGGGTAGCTGAGTGCTTAATAATGTGATACAGAATAAAGTCGTCTGCCTTTTCCCTTACCCTTCCGCTCTCCCTTCACGTGATGTTTCGCTGAGATAATGACAGACCTGCCACAAGCGTGGTGGCCCAGGAGGCTGAGGCAGGAGGACACTGCGAGTTTGAGTCCAGCCTGGGCTGTCTGGTGATTCCCTGTCTCAAAACTTGAGCATTGCACCACCAGGGGCAGCAGTGAGTCCATGAACTCGGGGATCCTGCCTTTCCTCAGCAGAAGGTCAAGGAATGGAGCGTGACCTTGGGGCCTTATGTATCTTGAGCGTTGAAGTCACCCTCGAAGCTGCCCAGGCAGCCAGCGAGATGTGAGCGCGCAGGCCTCGCCACGAGGCCTCTGGATGACCAAGGCTCCCACTCTGCTTCCCTCTCTGGCACGCCGTATGCCCAGCTAAGCTGTTTTAGGGTCTTTACTTTTGTAACAGTCTTATTTTTTTATTTGGCTAAAATTGTTAGCATAGCCCATGCTCTATTTTCACTTTTGAAGGACTAATCTGTCAGATATTACTAGTTTTTGCCATTACATTTTTATTTTCATGACCATTTTTACCAGTTTTTAATTTTTCCCTATATTAGCTTTAATGAGACAGTTTTACACTGATTTGGGGGTGGGTTTTGGTTTTGGTTTTTAAAGACAGGGTCTCACAGGGCCAGTGAGATAGCTCACACTAAGTGCTTAGGCAAGCGCAGGGACCAGGGTTTGATCCCCAGCACCACCGGCCATGCTGGCCCTATCCCTGGGCCTGCTGAGCCCTCAACCAAGTCCAGGTATGGTGGTGCACATCTGTAATCCCAGCACTGGGGAGGCTGAAAACAGAAGGATCACTAGGAGTCTGAGCTGCGTAGTGAGACCCTGTATCAGATACATTAAAAAGGGGGGAGGCTGGTTCCCACCATATAGCCCAGGCTGGCCTTGAACTCCCAGTGATCCTCCTCCTGCCTCAGCCCGGAGTGCAGGGATCACAGTGTGCACCCCCATGCTGCACTGGTTGTGCTGAATGTTTTCTTGGTTCCTGTATTTGTGCTACTTTCTAAGACCACAAAGGACTTAGAGTGGATTACTGTTTTATTTTTTATTTTTCTTTATTTATTTTGTGGAGCCAGGGATTGATCTCAGGCCCTTGTACTTGCCAGGGAAGTGCTTATTCCACTGAGCCACCTCCCCGGCCCCTGCTTGTTCTGAATGCATCCAGTTCTCACAGACCCCATCAGTGTCCTCAGCCTTAAACGGTGAGGTCTCAGAGCGCCTAGCTGGGGCTGGGTCCTGAGTAGGCCCGCACTCTGGTTTGGTTCGGCTTCTGTGGGCAGGACAGTATCCTGCCAAGGTTCAAAGACCTTGCACAGCTGTGGGACCTCCCCTGGCAGGCCCGCGGATCTTCTGGACGCAAGGTGGAGGCATTGAACTCAGAGGTCCGGCCTTGGCCCTGTAAGCGGAGCGCTCTTCACCACTGTCGGCGGCACTGTCCTGCCAGAGTGCCAGCGCGACACCTGGGTGCACCCAAGGCAGTGGCCGGTGGGAAGCTCACAGCTGGCCTGGTTCTCGGCTGCCCTCAAGAGCTGGGGGCTCAGTAGCCTGCTCATGGGATTCAGCATCACGCAGAAGGGAAGCAGGGACTGTCATCCACTTCCCAGGTATCCTGGGGCTCCCATGTCTGCTCTGCTCAGTGCCACCCAGCCACAGCTCACCTGTGTCCAACCTAGGCGTGCCCAGGGTCCGTCGGTAGTGGAAGCTGGAGGCTCATAGCGGAACATCGCCTAGCGCTTCCTTCATCCACCTGGGGCCCAGGCCCTTGGCAGCTTTCAGGGACCAGGAGGGCAGGCGGCTCTGGCTAGTCTGTGTTACTCTCCACCTCCCTGGACTTGCCCAGCTAGGTTCCTACGGGGCTGCCCGCCAAGTCCCCTCCACTCCAATGTGACTTCAAGGCCTCCCAGAATTCCTGTTTTCCCCTGGCCCCATTTACTGAAAAGTAGCCCGACCTTTGAACTCTTGTAGGAGGAAAAGAGATTCCAGTCCTCAGACACACAGGAACATTTCCAAATAATAAAAAGCAAGTGACAGAACTCACCAAGCGGCTCTGCTGTGAGTCCTCCGCACCACCCAGGGTCTGGTGCCTCACTGACAGCAGAGCTGCAGATACTGATAAGAGGAGACAGGACGGTGTCCTGCTGAGGACAAACCTCCAGGCAGGACACAGGCCGTCCCTGGCCAGAAGCTGTGGACACCAGCACCTCTGGCATCCCACATGGGCCTATCCAGCAGGGGCTGTCGGGTGCGCAGGTCTGTGATGTTAGGCCTCGGGCACCAGGTGGCACCACTCCTGGGTGACAGTTGTATGCTTGCAGCAGGCGTGCACAGTCTCCTTGGGGTTTCACACAGGCTCTCAGAACCCCTGTATCGCTGCTTAGAGCTCAACAGAGAGGTACAGTGAAGGAGCAATGGAAAGTCCCGAGTCCAAACGCACCTTAGGGAGGTCTCTGCACAGTGACCCAGGGGACAGTGTGAGCCCTGTAGGCACTGAGCGGCATTTCTACAGAGTGACATTTTCAGATACATTGGTAAGGCTGGGTGAATCCCTGACTTGGGGCTGAGCTGTCACACGGGTCGTCCTCACCCTAGGGTCCTTGTGGCAGCCTCAGCGTCTCCTCCTCAAATCCCAGCTGACACCTTGGGATCTCAGCTCCACCCACATTGTCCCCTCTAAGGTCATCTTCCCTGAAAGCCTGAGTGGGGGGAGCAGCCAGTTTCTGTTTGCTTAGCACTCTGTCCTTGTCCCTGTGGATTTATTGATGGAGTCGTTCTGAGAAATGAACACAGGGCCTTCACACCGACCTAAATCCTAAGCCCCTTATAAACACTTTAGTACTAGGACTCAAACTCAGGACCTTGCATTTGCAGGCAGGTGCTAGGCTACTGAGCTCTATCCCCAGCACCAAAACTTTTTATTGTGAGACGGTCTGTAGGTCACTGTGTTGCCCAGGTGGAGCTCAAACTGCTTAAACTTGCAATCCTCTTATCTCAGTCACCCTGCCCAGCCATAAGGTCCTCTAAATTCCCCTGGGGATGGCCCGCTTTGGTGAGGTAGGTGACCTGTCAGGCAGTGGAAGCCCAGTGCTTCCGAAATATCTGTTTTCGAAACAAGTTTTTTAAGTTCCCCTTAATACTTAGATGATGGCAAGTCATTATGTGGGGGGACGATGCAGGCCACATGGAATGATAAGAGGGTGGGCTGACATCTGTCTTGCTGCACGCGGCCCCATGGGACCCTTTGCCTCCCATCCCCCCACAACGCCTTGGTCCAACAGGTGAAGGAGAAAGAGCCAGCAGCCCCTCCCAGCAAAGCATCAGCACTGGCAAGGAGCTGGCCTCCATCCTCTTCCTCTCCTGTTGCCTGCTGGACATCTCCACCCCCCCCAGGGTCCTGCGCCTGACCCCCAGGGCCGCCCTGCTCCAACACATCACAATGGCTATAGACACCCAGGCAGGGCGCTCTATGACATCAACAGTGGCCAGTGCCCGGCCGGGGACAGAGCCACCATGAGCACTCACTGCCCACCATGCGGGCGCTGAGTGGGCTGCTGTTCTTATCTCTGTACCTCTCCTGCGGAGAGGCCTTCATGTTCCCTCTGAGGGACAAAGCCTCGGAGCCCCTGGAGAAGGTGCCTTGCGGGGCGCACTCCCGGGTCCGGCCCAACCTGCCCATGTATGCGCACAGCTGGCTGGCCAACAAATGGCTGTGGCTGTTCTTTGCCGTCATGCTGTATGTGATCCTGAAGTTTCGGGGACACGGTGAGAAGGCAAAAGCCAAGGTAAGGACAGCTCTTTCTTTTTCCTTTTCCCATTTGTTTGTTTGTTTGGTTTGGTTTGGTTTTTTGTGGTGGTATTAGGGATAAACCTAGAGCCTTCTCACTGGCTGAAGAAATGTACCCTCACGAAGTCTTCAAATCCACAGATGTGGAAAAGCAAAGATGACCTGTTACCGGCTCCCTGTTGTTCCTGTGATGTGAATTTCTTCAAATTGAGGATAGATTCCAGAACTTGGTGTGTGTTTGAGGTCAATGCTGTTCACAGAGCCAAAGCCGCTGCCCCTTGATTTTTAAAATTTAACTGAATACAAATTCCTGAACTTCTGGGAAGGTTATCAGTATCCTAAGAAACACAAATGGAAAGCCTGCACTACAGGACAGAGTAGTAACTGCTGGTCCCCAAAGTAACTCCATAGCCCTTTCAGGTAGGAAGAAAAGGGCAGAGAAATAAGGTGGTGGGTTTTCCTCCAGACGTGTAGACTTCATGACACTGTGTCCAGAGTGACCAGAGCAGGAGCAGGCGAACTCTGAAAGGCCAGGTGGTAGACAGTATCAGCCTCGTGGGCCATGTAGCCTGTGTGGCAACCACTCTCAGGTCTGCCACTACATCCTGAAAGCAGCCAGCGGCCATATACAAATGAGTGAATATGATTGTGTTCCAATAAAACTTTATTTACAAAAACAGGTGCACGGGCTGGGGCTCTAGTCCAGTGGCGTAGGTGCCTGCCTGGCAAGCGCAAGCTCCCAGGTTTGATTCTTGGTACCAGGAAAAATAAAAAGGTGCAGACCAGATTTTGCCAGTTTGCCTCTCCCTGAAACAAAAGCAGTGATAGAACCTTAGGTGAACTCATCTTTCTCAGGACTGTGTCAAAACCAGCAAGGTTGACGGAATTATTCACCCTGACTGTCTTTCTTGACAGGAGCAGAACTCTCCTGGCCTTCGAGGCTATCCACTTCGCTCTCCTCTGAAGAAAGCGCAACATGGCTGCTCAAGCAAAAACTATGCATTCAACACCTTAACCCACTTTGAGAAGGACCTTATGCAATTTCTGTCCAAAGTACGTAATCTCAAAGCAGTCTTGACAAGCGGCAATAACACCCGGCTGTACGGCCCAGACTTTCCTATAGACCCGCAGGCCTGTGTTACAATATATGAAGTATGGGGAGAGACTCCTGAATGAAAGCACTGGTGTGTCAGAGTAGGAGAGGAGGAGTGGCGTGTTGGTGAACAATATCCAAACTAATAAAAGTGTTCTGAAGAGTTCCCGCCTGTGAGGCCCTTCTCCCTGCCATGTGAAGAAATGACCGCTAGGCCGCAGCGCAGCCAGGGCACTGTTGGTTTTGTCTTTGCTTTTCTTGCTTTCTTACGAGCTGCGGGTGGGAAGAAAGGGCCTGACAAGGACACAGCAGCCCCATGACGCTCCTGACCGTGAGGTCCTGTGCTCAGCAGGGGATCCAGAGCTGCACCCCACCCCACCTCCTTTGAGCTGCAGAACACTCGTTCATTCCTAGTGTTCAACAGAAGCCAAGATGTCCCCAGGGCTATGCGGAGCTGGAGGAAGGATGCCCTAGCATGCCCAGAGACACTAGTTACCTTTGTAGTGCCTGATTTGTGCAAAATGGGGAACAGATTCCTAATGACTTAAGAATTACAAAGCCCAGGGACTGGTGAGATGGCTCAGTGGTCTAAAGCACCTCCTTAGAACAAGCTTAGCAAAGCACAGGGACCACGGTTCAATCCCCCAGCACCACAAGCCAGCCCTGCCCCGTGGTGGGCTGAGCTGGCCACACACACACACACACACACACACACACACACACATACATAAAACTTTAAAAAAAAGAATTACAAAGTCCAGCATTATGAACTTCAATTTTTTTTTTAATTTTTTTATTTATTTATGTGTGTGTCTGCGGCCAGCTCAGCCCACCAGGGGGCGGGGCTGGCTGGCATGTGGTGCTGGGGATTGAACCGCGGTCCCTGTGCTTTGCTAAGCTTGTTGCTTGTTCTAAGTAGGTGCTTTAGACCACCGAGCC